TAGATCAGGAGGCTTTTTTTACCGCTCAGAGTGACACGGCGAGGTTAGCACAGGATTCCCTGCTATTCCAGTTTCTATGACAACTCACAACTCATCCTGCCTCCGTCTGTCCGTTTGATCTCCAGCTGTAATGGAAGCAGAGCAACTTCTGAATGACGATCAGCTGCTAATTAGCGCTCGCCGTCGCGTGTTTGCAGCAGCAGCAGCAGCTCGACTGCAAACGGTCGCCGCGTCCACCTCTGACCTGCTGCAGGCCGTCTGCTGCTCCACTTTATTCTGGTTGTTGTGACTTTATCGGCACGTTGTCGCGTCGCTTTGGATGTTGTGTGCTCACGTGGTTGTTCAGCGTCTCTTCCTGCTCATTTTGTGTTTCTTTGGTCTCTCTTTTTAGTCTTTTTGCATCTTTTTGTGTCACTTTGTGCTCATTTCAAGCCCTTTTTTTGTCCCTTTGCTTCATTTTGCACCTTTCGTGGTTGTTTTGTGTCTCTTTGCAGTCAGTTTGAGTCTTTTGGTGTCATTTTTTGTCTCTCTTTTTGGTCATTTTGCATAATTTTGTGTGTCTTTGTGCTCGTTTCAAGTGTTTTTGTTGTATATTTTAGTCCCTTTGCATTGTTTTGCACCTTTTGTGGTTGCTTTGTGTCTCTTTGCAGCCATATTGTGTCTCCGTGTGGTTGTTTTAAAGCAGTTTTTTGTCATTTTTGATTCCTTTTGTGGTCATTTTGAGTCTTTTGTTGTCGTTTTGTGTCTCTTGGTGGATATCTGTGTATCTTTATTGTAATTTTGCATCATTTTGTGTCACTTTGTGCTCATTTCAAGTCTTTTCGTTATAATTTTTTGTCCCTTCCCATCTATTTGCACCTTTCGTGGTTGTTTTGTGTTTCTTTGCGATCATTTTGAGTCTCTATGTTTTGAATCTTTCGTCATTTTGCGTCACTTTGTGGTGTTTTCTTTCTGACTCTTGCCTTCTGACCGTTCCGCCTCCTGTAACTGAGCTCTGATCTGAAGTTTCCGATCTCTGGCGACAAAACGACCGAACTGAGACGTCGTCAGTCACGCCGTCCGAAGGCTCGATTCACAGAAACACCTCTTTGTGTTTATTGTCACAAACAGCTGCGACAGGAGCGTCAGCGAATCCCTGCTGAAGGTCGGCAGCTTTTCTGCCTCCAGCAGAAAGAATAGACGCTGTGCTGAGGTGTGTGGACGCGGCGCTGAGGGTGAATAACAGGATGTGATATAACATCCCGAGGCCGCGATTAGAGGAGGTGGAGGTCACGCTGGTCTCGGTAATAAGACGTCGTCCTACAATCACAGAATCACCTGAGCGCTGATGGACGGCAGCCATCTTTACCGCCAGAAACGCAGGATCTGGGCCGAGGAGCGTCTGTGGGCGGCTGCTGGATTCATGCTAATATCTGAGTCCGTCTGACACAAAACCCGGCGCTAATCCGGATTTAAACACGACTTGAATGCAGGAATACGTCTTAATTCAACGGCAGGACTGTTTCAATGTGTGTGTGTGTGATGTGAAATAAACGGGACAGAAATTCTGATTTAAAAAAAAAAAAGAGCTGAACACGGAAAAAATGGTAGAATGTTTTAAAACTGACAGAAGCTAAATATTTAATAAACGCTGATGAAGTGATGAATCACTGCAGCTCTAAACGGTCAGAAAACCAAATGGAGCAAACGGAGGCTTTTTATCAGCTGTCTTGTCTCAAATGTTGGTAACGAATGAACGACGGTTCATCCTGAAGGAAACATGAACGTTGGTCCAATAACGGCTGAAACGTTTTAGTTCCCACAAACTGTCGGTTATTTGGATGATTGAGTCGCTGTGTTGGGTTTCTGTGGTTGTTTTGCGTCTTTGTGGTCGTTTTACGTTCTTTTTTTATCGTTTTGAGTCTTTATTCGGATTGTTTTGTGAGTCTTTGTGGATATTTTTTGAGCCTCTGTGGTTGTTTTGTGAGTCTTTAAAGTCGTTTCCTGTCTGTCTCTGGTCATTATTAGTCATATTGTCGTTGTTTTGGGTCTTTTTTTGTTGTTTTCGTGTCTTTGTGGTCGTTTTACGTTCCTTTGCATCGTTTTGAGTCTTTTTTGTGATTACGCTGTGTTCCTTTGTGGATATTTTGCATCTCTCTGGGGTTGTTCTTTGTGTTCTTGTGGCCATTTTATGTCTCTTTGTGGATATTTTGAGGGTTTTTTTGTAGTTTGTGATTGTTCTCGACTGTTGTTGGTTGTTTGGAGTCGTTGTGGTTGTTTTATGTTACTGTTTATCATTTTGAGTCTTTACTGGGGTTGTTTTGTGGGTCTTTGTAGGCATTGTGCATCTCTCTGGGGTTGTTCTGAGGGTCATTTTTTGCCTCTTTGTGGTTGTTTTTTGTGTCCTTGTTGGTTGTTTTGAGGCGTTTTGTAGTTTTGTGTCTCTTTGCTATCGTCGGCTTTTGTTGGTTGTTTGGAGACTTTTTGTGGTTGTCATTTTTAGTCATATTTTGGTGTTTTGGGTCTTTTCTTGTTGGTTTTGCGTCTTTGTGGTGGTCAGTTTGTGTCTTCTGTCTTCTTGCCTCATTTTGTGGTCATTCAGAACCTCTTAGGGGTCATTTTGAATCTCTTTGGATTTTTATTCTGCAATTTTGTGGCCACTTGGCTTCTCTTTATGATCTTTTTGTGATTGTTTTATGTGTCTTTGTGGTTGTTTTGGGACTCTTGTTGGTAATTCCTTTTTTTTTCGTCTTCATTTTATGCCCTTTTGTGGATCTTTTACATTTATTTGGGTTTTTTTTCTCTCTTCGTCATGATTTTTGTGTCATTTTCAGTCTCCTTGTAGCCATTTTTGTGTCTTTTTAAGATAAATTCAACTGTTTTGCCTTGTAACTGAGCTCTGAGACTTTGAGTCTAGAGCCTCTGATATGAAGTTTTCCATTTGGCATCATAGAAATTAGTAAACTGGATGAGTTACAGATGACCAGATACTAAAGACAGCAGTCTGGGGCCGAGAGAACCAGATTTTGTAGACCTGTTTACAGATAAAACACCTCAGAGATTGATAAATGTGAAATGTCATGAAGGTGCAGAAAGTTTTAAACATGAGCAGAAATCAAAAACACATCTGAGTCGTTAAAGTCCAGAGTTTATAAATGAATTAAAACAACGTGAAAGAGACATTTAAAGACACAGCAGAGGACAGAAAAGTGAATCTGAGTGTGTGTTGACTCAACAAGGATAATATTAAATGAGAAAAGTTGATCTGCGTGAGAATAAATCAGTGGAAGCAGAACTGAAGGTCTGAGCGTGGCGCTGCTTTATATTCCATTATACTTTAAAATTGCCACCTGCTGCCTGTATTTACCGTTTCCCTTTGCATAAATTAAAACATTTCAGCCATTAAAGGAACAAATTAGTTCATAAAAATTCACCAGAAGGCAGCACTTAATGTGGGAGAAAAAAGCGAAGCCGTAAACCTGCATTCTGTCCAACAGCCAGCAGGGGGCGACTCCTGACTATATAGAAGTCTATGAGAAAACGAGCCCATTTCTAACTTGATTTATTACCTCAGTGACTATATTTCTAATAGGTTTATGGTCTTAACTATTAGCTGAAGATCTGCTTTAACACGGGATGATGCTTGTTTATTAAATTATGGTTCCATTTAGAGGAAAATATGGTTTAAAAAATAGAAAATTAGGCAGTTTTTTTTACACATATAACATTTGTATATTTAAACAGAATCAATTGGAGACGTTTCAGGGTGACATTAGTGAAAACTTTGACTATTTCTGTAATTCTAAACAATACACAACAGATAATAAACACGAGAGCGCTAGCTGGACGCCTGTACTTTTAGGAATGTGTCGGTAAATGATGTGAAACAAATGCAGCTCTTATCACTCTGGCTGTGAAGCAGGTATCACATGTGGTGTTAGAAACTCCTCCATTTCTTTACACTTCAGCTCTGGAAAAGCTAAGAAAAGACGCCACCCTCCAACTCTTTACATGCAGAGTGTTTGGCTGCCGCCGCATAAACACCGAGTCAGGATCGGAGCTGCTGGAAACCTGTTTACGAACAGCTGCGAGTCTTTCTGTGGTCGTCTCGTGTCTCTTGTTGGTCGTTTTCAGTCTTTCTGTGGCTGTCTTGAGTCTCTTTATGGCTGTTTCACGTTTCTCTGGTTGTTTCTGCTGTAAGTTTGCAGCTGCTTTGCTTTTTCTTTGGTCATTTTGCGTCTTTTTGTCGTTTTTATCTCTTTGTAGTTGTTTTTTGTCTGGTTGTGGTGATTTTGAGTCTCTTTGAGTCTTTGGGGTTATTTTTAGTCTTTTTGTTTTGAATTTCTTTGGTTGTTTCTGCATCTTTCAGGTCATTTTGTGTCTCTTTGAGGTAGTTTTTTGTGTTGTTGTGATTGTTTTGTGTGTCTTTGGTGCCATTTTTAATTTCTGTGGTTGTTTTTTCATCTATTTGTGGTTGTCTTGTGTCTCCTTTTGGTTATTTTGAGTCCTGTTCTGAACATTTTATCGTCTCTTTGTGGTGGTTTTGTGTCTCTGTTTGGGTTTTGTTGCACCTTTTTGGTCATTTTGTTTTCTCTGAGGTTGTTTCTCGCCTCTTTGTGGTCGTTTTGTTTAATTTTGTGGTTGTTTTTTGTCTCTTTCGGGTTGTTCTGACTCTTTTTGTTGTCATTTCTAGTTTCTGTGGAAGTTTTTTTTGTCTGTTTTTGGTTCATTTTGTTTCTGTTTATGGTTGTTTTGTTTCTCTTTATTGTCGTTTCGAGTCTCTTTGTGGTTGTTTCGAGTCTTTGTGGTTTTTTTTAGTCTCTTTGTGGTTGTTTCGAGTCTTTGTGGTTGTTTTGAGTCTCTTTGTGGTTGTTTTGTGTCTTTGCGGTCGCTCTGACGCCCATGAACCCTGCTCCAGTCTAGATCCACGGGTCCTTCGGGCGTCTTTGCTAACCAGGTGTGCGTTGCGTTCAGGTGTTTTTCGGGTGTCGTCTGTAACCTGCGGCGCTTCTCCGTTTCAGCCACATGCCTCTGAGTCCGGCTGCTGACACCAAACATGATCGCCCGCGGCAACAGGCGGTTACTAACGGCAACCCGACAGGCTCTGCTGTTGCCAGGGACGACGACGCGGACGACACGCCCCCCGGAAACAACATCGTCGTCCGCATCGGCATCCCGGACCTGCAGCAGACGGTAACACACACCGACACACACTGCCGGGAGCTGCGCAGTATAAGGAAACAACAGAACACAAACCTGTGTGTCTGTCTGTGTGTCTGTCTCTTTCTCTGTCTGTCTGTCTGTTCAGAAGTGTTTGCGGTTGGACCCAGAGTTACCAGTTTGGACCAGTAAGCAGAGGGTTCTGGTGACGTTGACTCAGTCTCTGTCGGATGTTTTGAACTATGGTCTCTTCCAGCCGGCGTTCAACGGCCGAGCCGGAAAGTTTCTGGATGAGGAGCGGCTGCTGAAGGAGTATCCCCTCCCCCCCATCACTCCCATCCCCTACCTGGAGGTAAAAACACACCTGAGTCGCCATGTAAAGGACAAACATGCGAGAAAACACGCTTGTAAAAGCTCACAAACCTAAACACAAATTTAGCTTTTTCAACCCTCTGAACCCCAAAACCCTCCGACAGGTTTTAGATACTTCTCACCTGGTTTACTTCGTCAACAAACACTTTCCTGAAAAGTTTCTGGTCTCGACTGGTAGTTTAAAGTCTCCTTCAACACAGCATGATGTTAATTTATTAAATTATGTTTCCATTTAGTGGAAAATAGACGATTAAGCCGGAGATGTCTTCAGGCGTACGGAACATCTTTGAGTTCTCCATCAGATCAGTCGCTACATCTGGTTTAAAAGATAGAAAATAAAAACATTTCTACATCAATAACATCTCATTTGTATATTTAAACAAGTTAGTGATCAACTGGAGAAGATTCAGTGATATTAGCTAAAACTTTGACACTATTCGCTTGTAGCGTCTCCTCTTAATCGAAAACCCCTCAAAGACTTACGAGACTGAGAGGAAACTCCAACCAACTGGATCAATGAATAAATGCAGCACGGATCAGAACCAGAGAACAGAAGAGCCAGTTGTTGGAGATACATCTAGCATGGAGGAACATCTTTCTACTGATGGTGGAACATCTTTCTA